TTTTTTTTGAAAGGACAACAGCCTTTTGTCCATTTCATGGGTGTAGCGTTCAGGGTTTGAAGGGTTTGAGTTATTTTCGGCCGGGATGTGGGGGTTTTAGGTGCTTTTCTTTGGGTTCCGAATTTGGTCTTTTTTTTTTCTTTTTTTTTTTGAAAGGGTGTAGCATCCAGCCCCGGCTTTTCTTTTCTTTTTTTTTTTGAAAGGGCGACAGCCTTTTGTCCATTCCATTCCATGTGGAATCGAACTCGGGTCTGCTCATCATGGATTATTTTTTGTTCTTTTTTTTTTCATTCATTGCCTTATGGCTTTTATGGCTTTGGTCTTTGGTCATTCATCGACAGTCGTTTCGATGGTCTTTAGTCATTCGTCGACAGTCGTCTTGACAGTTTAAGTGGGTCGTTCGTTGCATTGTATCTGGTCGTGGACGGTCAAAGTCTGTTTTTTTTTGTTTTTTTTTTAGGTGCTTTTCTTTGGGTTTCGAATTTGGTCTTTTTTTTTTTTTGAAAGGATGACAGCCTTTTGCCCATTTCATGGGTGTAGCGTTCAGCCACGGCCTTTTTTTTTTTTTTTTTTTTCTGAAACGACGACAACCTTTTGTCCATTCCATTCCATGTGGATTCAAACTCAGGTCTGCTCTTGTCGACGACATCGACGATCGACGAGACTGAAGCCTGAACTTGACTTGCCCACTCCCAGGCATATCGGTCGTTTGTTCGATTGCATCTGGGCGTCGACGATTCAAGTCTGTTTTTTTTTTTTCCTTCTTTTGAAAATTAAAAAAGCGCCTGCAAAAATTGCAGAAAAGTCCTACCCTCCACTCCCAGCAACTAAACATAACCAACACAACAACATAGCCAACACATCAAAATCAAATATCGTTTGAAGTGCACATTGAATTTCAAGTCTAAAGTGCAGATATGTCCTGCCAACAAACAGAATTGCATTAACCGCCTAAAGTTAGAACATCGTCCCTGCTGTAGCACCAAGACATGCCCTAGCAGACCACCGCGCCCTGCGCGTTTCCTATATGTAAACTCGACTTCGCCTGCTACAATCTCCTACCCCCTGGCTGCGCCTCCGCGCTTCGCACGGTCCAGTCATTATATTAGCAGCAGGCCTTTTTATTGTCATCATAGTATTATCAGCAACATCCATGCTCAAGCCTCCAACGAGGCAACATGCGGGAGCTGCAGCCACCAGCAGGTGCTATACCTGCTACAGCAGGTGGGCGATACCCACCAGGGGTCAGCCGGCAGCATCAGGACCGGGCTTATTCGATGGGCCAGTCACTGTGCCTCCCCTCCGGTCCCCTCCCCCTATGAACATCAGCAGTCTCTGCTCAATGCCACCCGGGGGACGAACGGCATATCTCTAGGTGGCGGGCGCCAAGCTTGCCCAGGAGGGTACATGAGGCCATGGGGATTGAACCCACGACCTCCTGAATGCCACTTACATGCCTTACCAACTGAGCTAGGCGGCAGGATAAAAAAAAAAGCCCACTACCTTGGTGTCTCTCCCCAACCCCCCTTCCAAATGAAAAAAGGAAACAGACTCCACATCCCTCGTGGGATCCCAGGATCAGGAGGCATGTGGTCCTGGTCGACCTCCAAGTGGACCCAGGGCCAGGCACAACAGGTGCTATGTTCATGCTAGAAGAGCAACCCCCCGGACAGCTATTGCGGCCAGGTTCACGACTTTCAAGCATGAACGTAGCTCCAGCAGGTTCTGCCTGTCAGCTGGCCAGAAGAAGCGACTACACGTCTCCAGTGGGACTGCCCAGTCACATAGCAATCACCACGTGGCCGCACAGGAAGAGAGTCTTACCATGGAACTCGGCCACAGATGGTGGATGCACGAATGGACGGCCACGTGGCATTTGCCCGAGCAGAAAACTTGAATACCCGTGGTAAAAAACACCACCCATCCGTAGTAAGCACCTGAGAGATCGGGACGCTGGCTACTTTGTGAAGTCTCCGTGGAGCCTGAATTGAGGAGGGGAGACGTGGGGATAGAAAGGGCGTCACAATGAGAGATCGGGACGCGCGCGCGAGAGAGAGAGAGAGATCGGGACGCGCGCGCGAGAGAGAGAGAGAGATCGGGACGCGCGCGCGCGCGAGAGAGAGAGAGAGAGAGAGAGAGAGAGAGAGAGAGATCGGGACGCGAGAGAGAGAGAGAGAGAGAGAGAGAGAGAGAGAGAGAGAGAGAGAGAGAGAGAGAGAGAGAGACGTAGCCGCACCTGGAATGAAGGAGTCCCATTGTATCGAGCTCACTCGTCTCGTCTTTCCGTGTTCGATCGCGGAACGAGGAGAAACGCTGTATTAGCACTTCTTTCGCCATAGCCGGATCGCTCACCACGACAACAGGTTTCCCCCTCGTGGAGTAATATCTGAAAAGGGGGCCGTAACGACGAGCCCAATCAATGAGAACGAAGGGGAGGGGTTTATCTCCGGAGAACATCTCATTAACGTGTGCAGTGAGGTTATGCGGGGGCAACGGCAGGCCCGGCATCGAGGCCAGGCCGCCGAAATGGCTTCCATCGCCAAGCGAGGGGGAGGTAGCGGCAACGGGGGCGGCAGAGGAGGAGGACGAGGAGGAGGAACCTTGGCCACATGTGGATCTCCACCGTGTGACCATGTAAGCCCGCATCAGGAAGACGATGAGCACTCCGGCTATGGCGGTTAGGACGAAGTTCCACTGGAAAATGTGTATTAAATCGTCCCCGGGAAGAAGCGGAAGAGGAAGAGCGCCATCGCTGCTCATGCTCGGCTTCCCCGTGCAGAATCCGCCGACTTGGAAGGCCGTAGCGACAGGCAAAAAAAGCGTGGGTCGACGAACACCCCACCACCACCTCAAGGACAAAGTGCGTGAAACGTTTGAATCCAGCCTACAAAGGCAGCCAGGTGCATCCGTCAAGTTCCCTGTTAAGTATGCCTCTGCGAGGAGGAACGTCGTAAAAGAAAAAATAAAGACGACCACCACATGAGGGAAACCGCCTGCGGCGCACTTAGTGCCAAGCGCACTTAGTGCCAACCAGCGGTGATAGTCCGCTTGATACCTCTGATCGGTATTAACAGGGTCCTTGGCCAACACGGGTGTGAGCGTGAGTGTGAGTGTGAGTGTGAGTGGGTTGTGTGGGAGAGTGTTGGCCTTAGACAGTGCTGTTATTCGGTTGGGGGTGGGGGACGATGAAAAGGGAGGCGCAGGCAGCCACTGTCAAAATGCTCGGTCTTTGCGTTAGCCAGACCCCCACCGGCGGCCCTCATGAGAGAGAGAGAGAGAGAGAGAGAGAGAGAGAGAGAGAGAGAGAGAGAGAGGGAGGGGTTGTGAACATGGGACATGGGGATTAAAATTGGGAGGCACGATCATTCGAGCTGTATTCGGCGCGTGACTGCATACAGATACATCTATTATGAACATCGGTTCTATTAGGTTTTAGGCCACACACACACACACACGCGCACACACACACACGCACACACACATACAAAGTCCGACGAAACAGTCTGGTACAGTCATGCTTTTTTTGAGTATATAGCGAATATGACAACACACACACGCAGGCACACACACACACACACACACACACACACACACACACAGAGAGAGAGAGTATCAGAGTCATGCCCGTCCATACAGGGCCATGGTGAAAAAATGAGCGATATCCGTCCAAGTACTGAAAAATTGTAACTGGTACCTATAGGGGTGTGATGGAAAGATTGCAGGCTCAACTGACACCCTGTTTTTTTTTTTTTTAACTTGAGTCATCGCCAGTGGGGCACGGCAGTGTAAGTCAGTGGTTCCAGAGGGGCATCATGCAAATAAATGCATCTGTGAGGGCCGGTACTGAAGGACATGCAGCGGGTCGGAGTGCTCAAATATAAAGCGACAACTTCTCAAAAAAAAAAACAAAAAAAAAAAACTACACCTCGACTTGTCTTCCGCAGGTTTGCTGCTACCGTCTTCCCCCCCGAACGTAACATAACACACCCTGAAAATGAACGTATACAAGGTATGTTTCCGGCCCGGTACGGTCCAAAAGAGGTTGCTTTGTGTTCGGGGGAAGACGGTGGTGCCTCCACCGCGGCTTTTTTGCCCGGCACAAAACGTCAAGGCCCCTTCATGCTCCCAAGCAACCAAACAAAGGGCGAGAACCCACAGGCGAGCGGCGACTTCTGTAAGGGCAGCAGAACGTTTTTGCAGACCCCACAGGCAAGGGGACCTGGAAAAGAGAGAAAAGAAAGAAAGGTCTTTCTTTTTTTAACTACTTTTTATGATCCAGTTTTATCCAGAATCGTTTTCGCATTTCAAAATTTTCCCCATAGGATCAGCTGTCAATCTCTGGGGCTCGTTAGACACTCCTTGGGGCATCCTCAGAGCCCGAGGAAAAATTCTTTTTAGTCAAAAGGAAATTTGGGCCCTTCGTTCCACCTGTCCTCGGTCGCCCGAGGACGTTTCCTTGGAGCGATGTCAGAAAAGAAAAAAGGAAAAAAAAAAAAAAATGTGCTTAAGGCCTTCAGCCAATAGGGTGCCGCCACGATCCAGATTCTCGGTTGTAATGTCTCTCTATGCGTGTGCCCGCTCCTCTCCGTGAAACGCGGATTCCTTTTGCCCAAGGGACCTCGTGAGGTCCCTTGGGCAAAAGGGAGAAATGGCTGGGGAATCCTCGGAGCCCGAGGAATTTCCTTCGGAGTGTTTTCACTTTTTTTTTTCCCGACTGCAACCCCGAGGATAAGTGGAACGAACAGTTCCTCGGGGACTTTACGCGCCCGAGGAGTGTTGAACGAGCCCCTCTGTCCCCGATTGTTTTTAAACTTTCTCGTCTGAAATTCTGAGCACAAAAAATTGCCTGATTTCGCACACTCAAAATTTTGCTAATCGCCCCCCCCCCACCCTCCCCCTGAGCAGTCCATAGGCCGACTCATCCCACGAAAGCTGCAGTAACTTGTGCAAAATGAATTGTCGCTGAATTTAAAGAACTTTCCCTTCCCTGAAAGATCGGCACTCAACCTACGTTTCTGATTGTAAAGAGAATTCTTCGTTCAAAATCCTGAGCGAAAAAAAAATACCACATTCCACACACTCAAAATTTTGTGCACTGGCGCCGAACCCCTTCCCAACTCGCAGGCTGACTCATCCAGCTGCAGGCGCAGTATCTTGTGCAAATTTGTGAAACCAATTTCATCAGGGGAAGTGGTGACTTAACGGCAGTATTACCTGTGATAGTAACTGCATTAGCAGCTGCAGTGTTAACTGCATTATTAACTGCGGTAGTAGCTGCAGTATTAACTGCAGAATTAAACCACCAGTACCATTCCCAGCTATCGAGTCCGACCCTCCAGCTACCGGTATGCCGAGTCTTGCCAAGGCTCCCGCTACGGGTACTGGGAATGACGTCCTGTAAAGAATGGTATCGGAGCTGGTTCCCGTTGTCTGCGCAAGCATCGCGAAAGTGAGAGGGGGACGAGTGTGAGCACGGAAGACCACCGTAGTGGATGGCCGCAATATCTGCCAGCTTGGAGAAGAAGAAGAATGACGAGAGAGAAAGGTCGGGGAAAAGATGAAGGTGGCAGCAGCCATAGCCGACGGGGAAGAAGAAGAAGTCGGCCATAGCTGAGCTTGAGGACGAAGAAGAAGAGGGCGAAGTTGTTGAAGTTGACAAAGGGAGAGGAAGCCGCCATGGCCGGGTGGTCAGAAGGTTGACCAGAGTGTTGACCGGCGTTGACCAGCATTGACCGGAGCATTGACCAGCGTTGACCGGCATTGACCGGAGCATTGGCCGGTGCTGACCGGCGTTGACCGGAGAGTTGACCAACGAGCGTTGACCGGCACGGTTGACCGAGTTGACCGTTGATCAAGCTTGGAGTGCGGAGCGAGGAGCAGTTCAATCCCTTCAAGCCCTGACCCTTGTCCTTTTATGTTTTGTGGATGTTGCACACTCACCTTGGTACTTGATGCAGTTAAGTCTGTCTTGTAGAGTCTGTTGTCTCTTTCTGCATCGAGTCACTCATGTCCAGGTTGTTGTAGGTTCCATGCATGTGGTCTGATAGAGGCAGAGGGGCCGATATTTGCACGGGACTTAGTAGGGATGAGGTGTATGTGACGCCAGACGACTTGGAGAAACACCCCAAGGACCAGTATAAGCCGGCAGGCTGCTCTTCGTGGTTTACTATACCTGAACTCTGAGCTGCAGATCGTGCGTCCAGTCTATGTAAGTCTTGAGAGAACTCTGGCTGTGATCGTCGTCCTCACTACGACGTTAAACAATTCCTGAGGAGTTATGGGGGATCTCCTTAAATACGTCCTAGTCAGCCAATAGTTTTGTAGTGATATACTAGCAGTAGACTAACATCGAATAGTTGATAGAGGACCAATTGGAAGCCAAAGCCAGACAAGATTGGATTGTGGGTGCACGGGCACCCGATGGTTGTGGAGAGATTGGACTGTGGTCGCAGAAGCATCCGACGACAATGGTAGTCTGGCTAAGGTGGAAGAGAGGACCTCTATAGTCCCCTAGAGGGTTAGTGTCTAGGTGGTAAGTCTAAGTGTTGAGGAGAGGAATCAGTTGCAATTGTGCCCCTATCCAACAATGATGACTCCCCTATGTTCGGCATTGTTCGCCTTCATCATGGGTCTCTCCCTCCGGGGGGCCCTGCTCTGTCTCCTCTTTCCGGTAGGATTCTGGAGGACAACTTGTTGCGTAGTGGCTACACAGTCCTTACTCTAGAATAGACCAGATAGTAAAAACAAGAGGAGAAGGCTCCCGCAATTCTCCGAGAGCAAGAGGATAAAGAAAACAATGAAGGAGGAGATAGAGGCATGGAATAAGGAACAGGAGGCGAAGTTGGCCAAAAAATTGGCCGAAGAAGAAGAAGAGGACGAGAAAAGTGAAGAAGAAGGACCCTCGTTACAGAGAAGGAGACAAAAGGAAGCAGTGAAGGGCCCGAAATAACTTGAAAAAGAAGAAAAAGGAGAAGTGGGTACGGCTCTAGCTCCACCGAAAGAGGTGGAGAAGATTGTAAAAGAGTGGGTGGTAGTAGGATTATCCCTGGGGGAAGACAAAGAGGCCGAATCGATGGTTCCCCAGACCGAAAGAGAAGCAGTCAGGGAGGAGCTGACTCCTGCGACGACAGGCAAAGGAGCAGGACAAGCAGTTGGAGTGGAAGTTGCACCTCGCGAGGGAGAAGTTGAGGCACCTTGAAATGGCATATAAGATGGAGAGGAGTTGAAGGCAGCAAAAGAGCGGCTGCGTAAGTTGGGGAAAGACACAGAGGTAGGGAAAATAATTGACACCCTCTCCTATAGTATGACTTCTATTGTAGCGGCTCAACGAGAACAGATAAGACATCTTTGTGGGCACGATATAGCCCTTGAGTCCATACGGACCGGTTTCCAAGACTTTGCTTAGGAGATGATGATTCGTCTCACCAACGAGATGCGCACCACGATCGATAGGCCAGAGAAGTTTTGTACCGGTGCAATTGACAACAGAAAAAAAACTGGTGTAATTGAAAGCGAGTTTATCACATACATTTGCGTATAACAACAGATTGTAAACAGTTTATAAAGAGTTTGAGGGAGCGGTTCATGTATATATACATGAAGCCAATCAATCTTCTTTGGACAAACATTGATCATGTTCTCTGTGTTCATATTGTTGTTTTAAACTGTATACAAACAGTTTAACAACAGTTGATTTTATGTTGAAAATTTCGCTCATGTGTTGAAAATCTGTTGATAAACGGTT